GCATATTTTGAGTTTCATTTGTAGTTCTGTACATTTTCCTTGCAAAAGATGTACTCTGCTTTGTGTGATGGCTTCCTTATGGAGCTTTCTAATAAATCAAACATAACAAGACACTTCTTATTTCCTCTGGAAAAGTAGTAAATACAGGCCTCTGGAACAGCCTAATTTTAAATGTAGAAAAAGGAGACCAAAGCCCACATGTTCAAAGGTAAATCAAAGTATAATTGCATCCAGAGCAGCTCTACGGAAGGCTGAGTGTGAGCCCATCCCTACAGACAGCTCCCTGGTGACAAACTCAGAAATGGAACCAGACAACACTGTGCAAAGGAGGTCAGTCAAGGAGATGGTTACAGATCCCCTTTCTGTTGTTTTCTATAAAGTACGACCTGAACCTTGTTACCACAGCTGGCAGTGCATGCTTGTGTGGTCACGGATGAGAGGTTTTGACCCTAGAGCAAAAAAAAAAAAAAAAAGGGTGAAAGGCAAAGAGTATATTCACCATGCTAGTTGCAGCAGCTCAAAATAATATGCAGTTTATTGCATTGTTAGCTGGAGAACCTGTCACGTCCACAAAAAGCTGAAGCAGCCTCCCTGTGTGGGACGAACGGGCTGCTCAGAACAATAGCGTGAAGCTTGTGCTTGAGAAACTGCTTTCCTCTCCTCCCCACCGCCCTTTTGTTATGACATAATCATTCATCTTGCTTTGGGTTTTCTCAACCTAGTGAGTACAGAGAGGAACCAGAATTGCAACTAACAGGGGCTAACTCCTTCCCTTCTTAGGTAACTGCACCAGTTCCTCTGATGACAAGGCGATTCCAGATTAACCAGATTTCCTTGCAAAGCCAGAGTGTGTCTGCTACAGCAACAGAGGCCGAGCCTGGCGAGTAAGTCCTTAAAATCCAAAGGCAGTCTCCTTCTACGTGCCAAAGGGCACAAAAGGAAGAGGAAAGTTTAATAAGCCATGTTGGATTTGCTCAGTCCATCTGCTGTGATGAATTTCCATGAGCATAACGAGCTCACAAAGTTAGCCATAGGTACATCAGGCCTAATTTCTTCCCATCAGTGTCACATTCCTTGAAGTAGCATTGTGAATCTACCCATTATTCACTGAGGCCATATTCTTTCTTAGATATTTTCTTCCTTTGATTCTTCTAGAGAACTGCCTATTTCTTTTCAATTTCTTTTCAATAGATGAGACTGTTCCAGAAAATAGACTCAGCCTTCATTCTGCAAAGGGGACCTTTTTGCATAGGCACTTTGCTAACAAGCCTTCCTTCTGGCTGAATCAGAGCAGAGCCATCCAAAGGAAGCAACATAAGTATTCATTCCTACTGGAAGGGGAGAAAAGGCACTACCTTGTTCCTGTTAACAGCCAGCTAATTTGGAAGCACTGCTGCCCATAAAGCAGAACTTGATTTTTTTATCAATTTGGAATTTCATCATTTTCAGATTCCATGAGTCTTAAGAAGGAAATTCAAGGCATGGCGCCTCACTGTTTAGTTCTGAAGAGCAAATTTTAGATTTCTGTGTTTGATATTCCCTTTGTTCTGTGTGATACCAGCGAGTAAGACTGTTTTAATTCTTCAGCACGTGCCGATGAGCCTGCTGAGAAGGAATAAGATCCAAGAAGCAATGAGATCCAAAGCACTGCTTTGACCTCTGTGGATGAAGTCCTTAGGCAATTCTGTATGCGGAAGCATTTTCCTCCATGTATAAATGGTTTAAACAATTAATAAAACTCTCAAAAATAATTTTTCAAACTTTATTTTCTGAGGCACATTAGTGGCAAATGTTCCTGCTTTCATGAGGAGGTCTTGACTAAGCCTGGCTGTTCTGCATGCAATTACTTTGAGGCAATTGGAAACTACTGGTTTTGTACAAATATCTACCTACTATAAAATGGCAGAGTCCTCATATTTCCTTTGTTTTTTTACATTGTTTGGAACAAAGAACACATGGTGGAATTAAATCAAACTGAAGAGGGAAAGGGTGGCAAGGACATGTAAAGAAGTTTTTGTTGTAGTAGCTGAAACTGGCTTTAAGGAAAATGCAGAAACTGAATGAAATGCAGATGCTAACAATTCGATAACACTATTATATTGGTGATCCAAATGGGAAGTAAATTGGTGTTGGTATTGTGCCAGTGGTGTCTTTTTTTGTGTACATGCAGCAGATAGCACAGAGGTCCCTCGTGTTACTGCCGCTGTCATTTACAGGTAGTGTAATGTGTAGAGAAACAACTGCGTACTTCTTTCAACATCTCAGAGCTGGTGCTTGTTTTCAGTCTGCAGCCTTCCAGGCTGTAGCCTTTCTAGTCCATATTTCACCACAGAAGGGCAATGAATATTAAAGTTTACTTTCTAATGAGACATCAGAGTTGCTCAAAGAGCTTTGCTATATCAGAGCTCAGCAGTTTGTCAAATGTGTTCCTCCTACAAAAACAAAACTGTGTGAGCATGCTGCATGGTTCCTACAAGAACCGGGAGCTGCAGAGCTTTCAGGCCTTGTGCTGCCAGCTATGGTGAGATACTGGAGAAGCTTTTTTAATTCCTTGGACAAAATAGAGTATCTAGTGCTGGGAGTGGAAGTAATGATGACCCCAGAAGGATAGAACAGCCGTAGAACAGAAGAAAGAGAGGCTTTGGTTCTGCCAGCCAATTCAACTCACTTTTTCTTTCTTCAAAGATAAAATAAACTCTTGAGACCAAAGATCTCATTTACAAGGCTGTTGTCTTAAGTCAGTCAGCACATGCGTTTCAATAACAGAGCGTAAAAGAAACTGCTCACAAGCAAACAACAGAAAAAAACCGTGAGTATCGATTATAAACATCCCTCATCCAACTGTGTGTGGGTATCAGCTTTATGATGAGAGTAGCCACTTGTATCCAAATGTTCATCTAACTATTTCAAGGGGTTGGATCTGGGCATCCTTCTAAATTACAGCGAAAATAAGTTTGAAGCAGATGGGGTCAGAAAATAGGCTCAGGTGAAATGGGCCATCAGGAAGGGAAGGAAACTACTTGTTTAAATGAACTGATACTGACTAGAACTGCAAAAGATGTTGAGACTTTGTTTTGAGCACAATGTCACCCCTTTTTGTGAAGAGATCTGCTGTCTGTCTGTTCTGCTCAAGAAAATCAAGCAATGTGTGGTGCTTTGGAAACTATGTTGTAATTTCCTTTCTCAGCTGTTTTTAGAAACTGCTGGTGCATCTGCTTGGCTTACTCTGCTCTAAAAGACATTTTTAGGTTCCTGTAGCTCTGATTTTGACTATTATATGTTTAGATAGGGCTTTTGTCAAATATGTAATATTTATCTTACCCACTGAGACAAAGGATGTTTTTGTTGTTGTTTGACTTTAATGTCTTTTGTAGTTTGGTCAGTTCTCCTTCAGTAAGCTTTCAAATAAAAAACATTTACACTTCTCCTACTTGCTAGGATGGAGTAGAACATATGCATTAAATTTATCCCAAAAAGGATTGCCAAATTTTATTTCAAATAGCATTACAGTACTTGTAGATATTTCAGATCCGTCTTACTGTAGTTATAGCTAAATTTTTATCTGCAAGGTTAACATATTCACTGTATTTTCATGTAGTTTAATTCATACTGTAGTTTAACTCATGGCTTGGGAGCAGGCAAACTGGGAAGTTGTTGTATGGGCAATGAATGTTGAATTAATAGAGGGATTTACAATCACTTCCCCTACATACATCGACTGTGCAATATGTGCATCCACTCACAGTGGTAAAGTTAAAGTAACTACTTCAAAGCTGGATCTTGCCATTGGATTTTTAAATGAAAATAGTACAAAAGTTCTTTGAAATACCATTCACTTCTGATATTTCAGTCTGGAGATTGGGACCCAGTAATCTGTCAGTCTCTAACAGAGTAGTCCATGTGACTCAGTAACACTTGGATTACTCTGTTTACCTTTCCCCCTGTATGTATCTATTGATCTTAAACTCCTCTGACCTAGAGACAGTCTCTCGACACTGTTTATTATGTTATTAAGATGATGAAATATGGAGTAAACAGAGAAGAAGGGAGATCCCTATCTGAGAATTTCCACCCTTGAACTTTTTGTCCCATATGCATCCAACCTGAACTTTTAGGTGCCTAATGGTCTGCAGGCTCAACCCAGGCCAGAAGGTTTGAGAGGAAAAGTTCTCTGACACACATCTCCGTTCTATGCTTTCTTTGTGCCGGTGTGCTTAATTACAATCCCAGTCATCTTTGTTTCCATCCACACAGGAGAGAAGGAAAGGAGGAGCTCTTCAGCCAACTTTAAGGTCAGAAATCCCTTCCAGCTCAGCCTCGCTTTGGCTGATGGGAGCCAGGAATGACTGAACTGCCGAGCCATGGCCTCAGCTGTGCTTGGAAGTGGGCTGTGTTGTCCTGCTTCTCTCCTGGTGAATTATTCCTGCTGAGATCAGGCCTGTCATTGAGAATTCATTTATTTTTTAAATAAGTATTTTGATTTGTTCAGTGTTTTAAGTCCTGAAAACATGGTCTGGGAAGGGTTCAGTAGAGTGTTTGCTCCAAATATACTGAAAGAGCTGTTCTGTTGTCAGCCACGGTGGGAGCAGTGGGGATCAGAACACATAGCATTCCGGGAGAACGTCATTCTGTAAGAGCAGTTTTAGTTATGCAGTGAGCAGCTCTTCAAAGCAGAGAGGTGTACAGGATTTATAATAATTATAATGACCACTTCCTGAAATGGGTTTATTTAGAATTCTTTGTTGTAGGCCAGCACCCAGTCTTTTTTCATCTGCTTCTTTCTCTAAATGTGTAGGAAGGTGTCCTTGTGAGCTCACACATCCTTCATGACACTCAGCTGCCAGTTGGCACCTGTACCTTGTCCTCATCATGGAGATATTTTAGCAGAAGTGTGTTTTAATCCCAGGTTTATTGACAGAAATGATGGATGGATGGGTAGATAGATAAAATGATTATTCTTCAGCTTTACCAGAAAAAAATTCTTTGTCCTTTCAATTCAGATATCAGATACTTCATGTGGCTCTGCTGACTCCAATCCTGTCATTTTGCCGTATCTGCTGTCAACAACTCCATTACCAGATAGTCCATCTGAAGAAAAAGAAAGGATTCTGACATTCATCATATTATTATTACTATTTTATGACAAGTGGCAATACACAGAGATGAAGGTGCAATTTCCAGATCGGAGTCTCCGGTAGGTTCATGTGAACTATGTGCCTTTAAGAGCCATTCTCTCTCCTCATAATTACTTATTGTACGAAATGGCAGTTGGCAGCAATCAGGTTAAGTATTTAAATGTTTTCCATTTAACTGAAGGGATTACATTCACATTTCCAATTTAAAATGTTGTACCATCTTAACTACAAAACCTCCTACGGTGCTGTAAAGTATGTTTTAGAATATTGGTACTAAATTTGCATGAAAATCCTTGATTTCATGAACACAAAATAAAACATACTATTGCATTTTTCTCACCCCTTATACACAGGTATGTTCTCCAGCAGGAACCAAATGGTTTATTGTTTTCATTGCTGCCTTCCCTTTGCTCTCCATCTTCATCCCTCTCCCAGTGATGGATTTTAAGTGCTGAATGTGGAGAAAATCATCATAATGAAAGAACTGACAAAATCTGGTCAAGAGCAGTGATCCTTTTTGGTAAGGAGACATGTCTAAACACAGTTCACATCTTTTGTCTACACTTGCCTACCTTTCTTATTTTCCTTCCTTTTTTTTTTCTTTTTTTTTTTTCTCCTCCAATTCTTAGCAGCTCAGCTATTTCCAAAACTGAAGCTCAGGGAAAAGGAATTCTGGTGACCTCTTCTTTGCAGTAGGACTAAAAATGGACAGGGAGAAAGTCTATTCATTCGTGATTGCTTTCCATGCTGCTTAACAACAAGCTGTGTGTGTGCCTGACGCCTGCCAAGCAGCCTGAGTGCAACTGGTGTGCTCTCATCAACAGGGCTCGCCCTACAGCTGTAGCTCATCTCTATTTTTAGGCAACACTGTCTCACCTTTTCTCTCCTCTGCTGAGCAGACATTCATTGTGTTGTTTTCTGGGCCTTTTTCTGTGTGTTTCAACCATCCATCTGGTTAGGATGCTGAAGCCCCACGGTGCTGATAGCCCCAGCAGGGCAGCACTATGAGCCGATGTGAGGGGATCTTGGGCACAGAATCACAGAACCATAGAATGGCTTGGGTTGAAAGGGACCTCAAAGATCATCTAGTTACAATGCCCCTGTTTTGGGCTGGGTTGCCAACCACCTGATCAGACTGCCCAGGAACCCATCAAGCCTGGCCTTGAATGCCTCCAGTGATGGGGCATCCACAATTTCTCTGAGCGGCCTGTTCATGTGTCTCACCACCCTCTGAGTGCAGAATTTCTTTCTAACAGCTAACCTAAACCTTCCCTCTTTCAGTTTAAATCCATTCCCCCTTATGCTATCACTATCATCTGTCTAAGTTTATAAACGCCCTTCAAGTACTGGAAGACTGCGATGAGATATCCCTGGGGCCCCAGGACTGGACTGAGTACTGCAGATGGGGCCTCACAAGAGCAGAGTAGAGGGACACAGTCACCTCCCTCTCCCTGCTGGCCACCCTTCCACTGATGCAGCCCAGGGTACCATTTGCCTTCCAGGCTGCAAGAACACACATCTGGCTCATGTCCAGACTTTCGTCCACCAGAATCCTGCATCCCTGGGTGTCCCTTCCAAAGCTCACACTCAGCAGCAGTGGGAATGCTTTCACTTCACTTGTGAGGAGCCATAAAAATGGGATTTGTTATGACAATTACATAAATATTATGTAGTCATTGCAAAAGAGGGTTTCGTTGTAATCAGTTAATTCTCATCCTCTTGGTGCCAATCACATAACTATATTTTTGTTCTGGAATATCATTCCATCCCTTATATTTGTTCATTCTCTAGATTGACTAAAATACTACAGTAGATTGTGGTGAAATGGCTCCTGTTTCCCCACGCTGTGCCTTTCATACTGCTGGGGAGGCAGATTTCATATTCTGTGGAAGATTTCTTAAAGTATCATTCCCAGCTGAAAGGAAAAAAAGCTCATCATGGAGTGAAACACAAAGCAGGTCATTGATGGGTTTGCATTACATAACATTGTTGAATAATATCAAAAAATCATTTCCACATTTCATATCCATTTTTTAACAAAGTGGTTTTGAAAAGAAACTAGAAATATTAAAAATGTGGAAATACCACAGAAACATTGAAATAGGTAGTAGTGAGATGAAAATCATTTTGTTTTATCACCCCAATATACGAGAACAGTAAAGCATGGAAAACTTCAAATTTTGATGACTATTGGCTTTCCCAATGGAAACTACTGAGTAGAACTAACAAGTTTTTTATATAAAAGCAGGGAGGAGAATAAAAAAAACTCAGAACTTATCTTCATTTATCCAAAAGGAAAAGCAGCTAAAAGATTTGAAAGCTCCTCCAGAGTCGTGTTACTCATTGTCTGAGACAGCCTTCACATTACAGTTGCCACCTTTAGAGTTTCACGATGAGGATTTTGTTCCTGGAAAAGGAACTGGGAACATGGTTTGTGTTTTGTGCTTGGTGTGTACGCTTTTAGGTCATTCCCCATTCGCACCACAAATGTAACACAGCCCAGTTACAGCCCAGTAGAGAGCCCAGTCTCTACTGAGACTTCTGGTTGAAAGCAGTGCTTTCCACATCACAGCCTTCAGATGAATCTTTACAGCCACCACTTTATTGAGCAGCTTTATATTTCTCCTCCAAACACAGTTATCTCCACCGATCCATATCATATCGAACAATCTGAAAATAATGTTATTAATGGGCAGGTATTCACCCACAGAATCACGTTTTATTTTAGGCAATAATTATAAATTGAACATGTTGCCTGGATCTCACTTGCCTTTTACAAAAGGATATAGGGACTATGGATAATTTATAAACAAATAGTATTATATTATTGATCACTGATCTCCATGGTTACTGGGCTCCTCTGGTTTCATTGTGGCCTCTTTGTAATTAAGCATTGTTGCACATACGCTGTGCTGTGAGTTAGAGTAGGCTGGAAACACACAAGTCATTAGAACGGGCAAAGAGGAAGATTTCCTTTATTTTGCACCATGGCACAACTGGCAAAGCCCTTTTGTAGGTACGTGTGGAACTGGCTGCCTGTGAGTCAGAGCATGTGGGAGCAGGTTGGGGGTCATTGGGTGAGATCTTCATCTGGGGCCATAGCATCAGTGCAGGATTTGGGCACTCACTGCCTGCTGTCATAATGGCACCCAAGGCACGGCTCGAGAGTCACTCTGTTCCAATGGGATTTAAAGCAGTGATGAGTACTCAGGTTTGTGCCGTTCATTCTTTAAATCCATATTTTTTATTCCTTGTTGACCCAAACAATCAGTGGAAGTATCCTTTCTTAAAAAGCATTGCAAAAATATGTACATATGAAAAATTCATAGAAAAAAAATAAATCAACCTTTCCCTCCATCTCTGTTCTTCATTGAGAATAGTCTCAAATAGTTCTTGGAGCAACAGACTGTTCAAGTTGAAAACAAACTTTGGTGAGGCTTACCTTTTTGACAAACATGTTTTGAATACTCTTCTGTGTCACCTCTGAGCTGACCTGAGGCAGGTTTGTCCTCTCTAGATGCCTCAGCTCTGATACTGAAATACTTTAAAATGCAAATAGGAAACAATAGAGGAAGCATTTGCATCTTGAAATAACTTTTTTAAAGGCCTTCTTTCAGTCTCCATGCACCGATTATTCATTTCCTTCTCCCTATCAGACAAATTTCAGTTTCCCCATTTCTGGGTTTGATTTCCCCCAGCTCCATCTCTGCAGAGCACCCTCCTTCTGTTCCCCAGGCCGTGGATATCTGTGTTCCCATCTGATGCAGAGGCTCTCAGGGATGTGGTCATCTTTACTGCAGCAGCCACCATGGGGCTCACTCACTGCTCCTTCTCCTTTCATCTTCGTGAATACCTAATCTGTAACACACTGCTTATCATCCTCATCAATATCTTCATATTCTGCAGATTCTCTCTTCTCTTTCTAGATTTTAAAGCCCTTATTTGGCCAAGGAATCCTTCCCAAATAAAGCATATTGATAATATTTACTTGCTCTACAATAGGACCAGTTTCAAATATGCAGCTTTTGGCATCTAACATATTTCCAGGGCTCCCAGGGGAATGGGCACTCGTAACGAGTAGCAGATATTAAAAAACAAAATGGGTCTCACCAAGAGTTTTTTTCAGGACACTTTTCCACACAATCCATTTCCTAAACAAAAGGGTTTCAATACACAAAAAACATAAGACTATTACACCAAGATGCTTAGGTGCTGTTGTAGTCACAGAGGGACCATAACCAACAAAGAAATCTACTTTTAAAACGCCAAGACGAGTCTATAGAAAGCAAAACATTCCGAGTATGGATTTATGGATGGTTTTGCCTAGATTAAATCCCAGCGGATGAGATCAGGAGTCAGTCCAGAGCTGTATTTAGAAGCCACTTTCATAAAAACCAATGAAGCAATGATATAATTCTACCCATGTTTCTGCTCAAGAGCCTCAACCCGACATGCAAACATCTAATTTCCCTAAATTTTACCATCTCCAAAAAACCCCCACAAAATTGCAAAAAGAAGCGAGCCCAAACAGGCCCATCACTAAGGACTGAAAATAGGCATTTGCAAACAGTGGAATCTGTGGAAAGTTACCATGGGCAATATGTATTAAAAATGGTAAAAAAAAAAAAGAAAAGAAAAAAAAAAAGACAAAAAAAAAAAAAGACTTCAGGAATCAGAGAGATAGTTTGGTCTTTACCACTTTCTAAATAAGAATAATAAATGGCAAAATATGCAAGGCTGGATTGTATTAGAGAATTCCCATAAATTATATACTACAGAGTTGGACATTAAACTGTTAATACAAGAACTCTTTGGAGCATGGGTTTCCAATTTCTACTGTATGAATTTTTGTCAACACAGCTTCCTGTGGTCAGATGACTTATTCGGTCAGTGCTGGTCTTTTCTCCCCCAAAAATACTGAACTGAATTTTAATGTCAGGCAGAAACTCACACGCTGGTGTTCTGCTGAAAGGCTGCACTATAGAGCATTTGAGCGTTTTGCTTCTGAGCTTACCTTTGTGATTTCTTACCTTATTTATCCTTGTGATCGCCTCACATTTTGTCACCAAAGATGTAGCCATGTAAGCCTTTAATTAAACACGTCAGCAGTCATGGAACAATTAAAGTAAGTTTTCATCAGAGACACTTGGTCTGCAGGGATGAGGAGTGGCACAGTAAGTGTGCTGTGTGCCAGCGCTTTATTTACAGAGGCCACGCTGAAAAAAACCAAGATCAAATCAATAGCAGTTTGCCTAAAGAAGGAGCTTTAATGCCTCATGGATCGAGACACTAAAGTCTTCTTCTTGCCTATTACTCTTAATACACAGCCACTGTCATGGGGCTTAATCAGAATTCATGGAGCCGCTAAACCAGGGGAAGATTATTGATCTTATTAAAGATGTAAGAGCACTGGTCTGAGAAGACAGGGCCTCCAGAGAAGGGCTCTGCCTCATTCTGCCTGCCTGGGGCTTCAGCACTGCCAGGACCCAGAGGCATTTTTCTTCTGTAGATAAGAATCTCAGAAGCCTGGGCACAACTGCCCCACACTGAGCATCTAAATCTCCTCACCTGTAGTTATGAACATGCCTTCCTGACCTTCACCAACAGTATTTTCATTACCTTTGAGGACTAGGTTCCTTCTGCTGTTAATCCTATGCGATGCCCCTGAAAACAAAAGAGCAGCATAGATGTACCTGGATGGGAATTCAAAAATTGCAGATTACAAAAATGTTACTGATGGCCTAATGTGATTACTGCTTCAATCACACTGCTAGCACACAGAGAAATAACCCAGGTGTACCTCTGCGTCCTAGCTGTGTGGCTTCTGTTGTTGTTGTTTCTTTTAATTTCCTGTACAAGCTCTGTTTAGTGTGCAAATTGCTTGCTATATTTATAGAAAATATTGAGTGATAGCAGTGGAACAGTGCTAATGAGTTTTAGATCAGTTGCCAAACTGAAAAAATTAAACTAAAATTCATTTAGACTGACCCACAATAAACGTTTTCCATTTTTCTCGATGTAAACAAAATGTGAGAAAGCTGTTCAGGGAACTGTTGAGTTCCTGAACTACTGATTGATCACCTGAGGCAAGGACTGAGTCAGCCACAGGAGCACAGGTGAAGGCAATTCATCTGTATGACTCCTAGACCCCATTTAAGAGCTGACTGCCACAGGGGAAGATTTTCTTTCAGGAGATCTCTCCCTTTGGAGTTTTTTTTTACTGCAAGCCTAGGATATGGGTAAGCATTTCATTTTTGATTGTCTCTTTTCACCATAATAATCTTTCTAACTATAAAGCCTGTAAGATACCATTTTAGCCATGCTACTCTGTGAATTGTACATTTGTTAATTGTACAGCTGCAATTTGAGTATGTTTTTCCATTGGATGGGAAGTTAGATGTCTTACTTATGGGCTTGGGTCACAAAAACCTGGAGTCATGGGATGCTGCTGCTGAGCAGCTGCGTAGTTATCATTTAGTGAGGTACAAGAATTTGGGGTGAATTCCTCTCCAGCCCATGGAAGAACTGGAGAAGTTTTGGACAGCTTCCCCAGTCTCGATGGGCAGGAGGGAGACAGTGTGTCCAGTAGTTTCTATACAAAGCAATAAACATTGGCTCCAACCCCTTGCCTGTGCTGGTCTCCTTGTGGTTTCCTCAGGCTCCTCCCAGTCTTCCTCTGCAAGGTTCTGGGCAGTGACTGATGGCACACCAGTACCATGGCTGGGGAGCCCATCCAGGACAAACATGGCAATTAGAAGGTTAATTTAGATATTAAATTAAAAATCTTAATTCCTGCAGAGCCACAAAAAGTGCAGTCTTGAATATACGTCTCTCATGTTCTACATCAATCAATTGCCAAGTACTGTAGCCTTTCCTTTTCCTCCAGTCTTTCCTTTTCTTCCAGCTTTATCTATCTGAGGGAAAAGGTCAGAAGAAACATGGGCAGATCTGCTCCAGATTAAACCCAGTTAACTAAACCCGGTTGTTCTGATAATTACTGCAGTCATCTGAAGCATTCACCCAGATTCGAGCTGAATGTCACAGCAATGTTCTTGCAGCACACCTGTGCAGGCAGGATCTTCAGGCTAAGCTGGAATTAGTTTTATCTTTCCACAGCAGGTGAAAATTAAATCTTAAAACCAGAAAGGAGTAACACGAGTTTCTTGGGTAGCAACCACTCTTTGGATAATAGGTGACATGCATGATGTCAGAGCTACTGTCAGATGTGGGAAAGACATTTTGGATTCATTCCCATTGCTGAGTGTGAGGTGTAAGGAAGGGTCTGTGGGCTCTTTGCACAAAGGGTCCCTTTTGCTGCATGGCACTCCATCATGCTCCTTCCTTGCATGGACCTAACTGCTGCTGCCAGTGATGTTTGTCTTAGAAGCCATGGTTCAGCAGAGCTGTTCAGTCCCACTGTGCCATTCAGGTAGTTGTGCAGTTCATCTGCCACTTGTACGCTTTGTACAAACCTAGATAGGTTTTCTGAAAATTCTGTTATGCGATCACTGCATTCTCTGAAGGCATGTGAATTTGTAACGGTGTACTTCTATAATAAGTGCTTTACTTCTACAGATTTAGGTTTTCTTGTTCTGCTGAATCCTTTAATTAAAGCGCACCTAGGAAAGCTGGGATGTCAGCAGATGATGTTTGTTGGAAGTGCTGCTGTGTGCTCACGAGTATGCTGCAGAGCTTGAGAGACGACGGTGCGTTTCAGACAAGCCCAAATGTCTTCTAACTACTTGCTGTGTACTTTAATTTATGCTTCTTTCTGAACATGTTAGATTTTAGTTTATACGTAGGCTCATCCCTGTGCTTTTGTACCAAGTGTGCAAGCCACTGAGGCAAATGATGCACTCAGTACAAGCTATAATTTAAAGGCAGGTGGGAAGTGCTTGAAATGCGTGTATCTTTGTAAGTTATTCCTAAAATGCTATTATTACCTGCAGTCTCTTTAGTTTCTGAACTAAATGTCCTTTCCTCCTCCTTAAGCCTTTTATCTGCTTTGGGAAAAGAAAAAAAAAAAAAAAAGACAAATGGAGAGAGGATTTGTTTCAGATCTGGATCTTTGGGAAGCTTTAGCAGCCATTCATCTGCAGATGACCATTTTCAGTGAATTGTGGCTATGCTTGGCTTTCAAGAATCAAAGCTGGGTAATACAGAAGAGACACCAGCAAAAACCAAGCTACTGATTTTCCATTTTTTCTTAACTGCAGGAATATCCATGTTTTCTGTTTAGCCTGGTGCTGAGATCAAAGGATCCAAATGGTTGTGTGAGTGTGCTACAGCTTCTGGATAAATTACTGAAAATGTTATTGTAAAAGCTAAACCGATGTGACCCTTGTTTTCATCAATCTTATATTTAATCTTTATATAGTGGCTTGTGTAGAAGGTTCTTCTACCTCTATCCTTGATAAAAGGTAGCACCAATTAAAATTCTGCACTTATGTATAATTCTGCACATATAATAAAGTGTGATATTTTTAGTGTTGTTGAGCATTAGTGAACCTGTATATATGCAAAATGGCTATAAAACATTGAAATTTAAATTGAATAAACATAGATAGGAAATTGTAAACGAGAATTCTCATTTGGGAAGTTAACCACTTGAAAGAGGAAAAGCTGTTTTACCTGGTAACTTGCATGGAAGGAATATTCCAGCTTTTGGAAACACTGTGTAGATAAATTGAGCTCCTACATCTTTTCTACTCCCATGTGCCTAATCGCTGGCGCTGCAAAAATTAAGCTGCAAGAATTCTGATTTATACACATGTAAGAATAATAAAGCAGATCTACAAATGGTGTTTAAATACCCACTAATGGGCTATCTATCAGAGTGATATCAAGGAATAGGAGAAAAGCCTGGGAGCTGGGAAAACAGCAACAGCAGGAGTAGATTTCTACATGCATAAAATACGGGAATAAGAATTGTTGAGTTTTTTAAAATATTTGTAGTATCTGTTAATGTATACCATGGAGTAACATCTTTGAAATCTGCCATCAACTTCACACCTCTGCCATCATCTTATCTGTGTTACCAGCTCTTGTTTTTCAAGAGAGGATCTTAGCAACAAATTTGTGTTCTTTTTTCCTTTCAACCAATCTCCCACTTTTCCCTGTCTTGGCAGTTCTTACCATGTTTTCATTTCACTCCTCCTCTGTATCAGTAACAGAATATTTTTCTATTTGCCATTTTCCCTTGTTCTTCACTTTCCTTTGTGGTGATCCCAGCATACATAGAAAGATGTCTGTTCCACCCATATTTTTGAAATACACTTAATTTCATTTTTGCTTTGCAATTTTTTTTTTCTTCCCCTTGAATGTAACTTCTCAAATAGAGTAATGCACTGCCTGCAGCAATCACCTCAGATGGCTTCTTGCCAACTTCACCTTTTCTCAAGTCATCCTCAGTTTCTACTATGTGTGCTCCACTCAGCTGTTCTGAGGTCACTATTAATGATGTGAACAAATCTCAGGACTTCTTGCCTGCAGCATTATTGATCCTACTGTAACTCTGAAATCTTGTCCTGTCTTAACAGGAATCTTTTCTTGTTTTCTTTTCCAAATCATTGCCAATTCTTCAATCTTTCCTTCAGTAATGGATCTCCAGCCAAGGTTTCTCTTTCAAAAAAAAAAATCTCACCAGGCTCTATTTTACCTCCATTCGCTGATTTGTGCGTTTTCTCAGGTGATTTCTTCTGATTACATTAACTCAACTGTCACCTCTACAATACAAATCCTTGCTTTTCATTACACACACCTGGTTCCCCTTGAGACTGAAATGTTGAAGTCAAGATAACCTTCCTGAATTCTTGCTATGATTTTATCAGCCTATTTTTGTATCCTTTCCTGGCATTCCTCTCTCCTGTGACTCTGAATACAAATGGGAGCCATACAAATTAGGGCCCTCCGTTGGGCACCTGTTTGTAATCTTATCTTGTATTTCACTATGCAGTTCTTTGTTCTGAGCTGGCTATGCCATTTTCAGTTGCCCATGCATCCTCTCAGAAAGTGCTGCCATTCACTTTTTTCACGTTTTCTTCTTGCAAACTATACTCGAAACACGCTGTTAAAAAAACAAACAAACAAACTTCTCAGCTTTCCTACAAAGTTATCTCAAATCCTACCACTTTCATGAAGTGTTCAGGAAAACAAGAATTGATATTGTCCTGGGGCAATTTCAGTGGGGTATGTATTCTTTAACTTGTAGCTTTATAAATATGTTTCGTGATACATTTTTGCCTATAGAAATCTAGTCTATACTGAATATATACTCAACTTCATTCTTGCTTCCTTCTTTTTTTACTTCAGTTTCTCTTATAAATATAACATCCTTTGCTTTAAGAATTGTGCTTTTGGGTGTGTAGAACCATCAGAAAACCCTATAATACAACATAATTATTATTTTTTTTTAGCTGTACTCACAAGACATCATGAGATTTCCCCAAACACCTTATCTTCTCAGACACCTGTAGCAGCATACACAAGAGTCAGCACTAAATGATGTAGTGGTAAAAAAGTGAATTAAATTAAAATGTGATAATTTGAGGCATTAACACAGTGTGGCGTGCCAGCTCATCTCATTGCATTGAAATAATATGAAAATGTAGTGAGAAAAGAAAATGTGTGCAGTATTGCACAGTTTGGTCCAGTCAATCTGATCAGGTGTTCACCATGATTCTCAAGATACTGAGACAGGCAGATTCACACTGCTGCCAGCTAGAGCTCTGTGTATCACGAGAGTAAAAGGATATGGAGGGGGGCACTTAAGTTCTGTGTATGTGTTACGGTGCCAGACATAGTAGTTTCATGATTAATCACTTGGTCACCCAGCTGCTATGACAGTAAACAGGAAAAAGAGTTCAATTCCAGAAGGCTGGGGAATATTTTAAATTCAGTTTCTTAGAGGTGTGACAATCCCAGCCAGGTCGTGCCAGAATCAGCCTGTTCTAATTTTGTGTAAAACCAGTAACACAAGCCCACTGAATTGCATAATTTATAAATCACTTCAAGAGAGTTTGGTGTGAAAGGTGATATGAAAGTGGAGGTTGTTAGCCACCTCTGCAGCTGGCTGAGTGTCTTGTTTATTCTCTAGCCATATTCTGCGTCAGGAGCCTGTACCACAACTAATTAGCCATAATGCTTTATAATTGTATAAACAGAATATATAATAGATCTGTATGATATATAATTAATTTTGCCCTTAAGGAAAGCTTTTGGAAGTCAAACCATGAGCTCTTTGAGAATTGCCTCTTTATGCTCTCGCTGACAAGGCATATATCTCTGCTGGCAGAGCTCAGGGAACCTTCCAGAAAACAATTTCATTAGGCATGACCAGGTGTTTTTTTGCAGGAGTGAGTGCTTGCAGACACAACTCTGGCACTGAGGTGGCTGCAGCTGTGGCTGTGCCTGCCTTCGTGCAGCCAGCACTGAGAAGTGGGGCTTTTGTGCAGTGGTCAGTTTTTTTTTGTTTTTTTTTTTTTTAAAAAAAAGCTAACCTATGGTTGTCACAGAGGTGCTACTTATTTAGGCTTGTGTTCTGTTGTCCTTATTAGATTATTTTTCCGTGTGTGCGTGTGTATGTAGTAAATTCCAGGTTTAACTCCATTATTGCTATTGCAAATACTACCTCAGAAGCCCAATTTTTTTTTTTTTCCCCTGGATTATAATGCATAAGTAAGAACAACCCAGTATAGTTGGAAAAATCACTGCTCTGATAGACTTGCTTATCTTTGCCACTGGGGAAAAAAAAAAAAAAAAAAAAAGACATGAAAGACTTCAGGAGCTTCAGGAGTCCTGTTGGATCAGACCTGATCCAACTGTATGTTTCCTTAAAGTGACATAGCAGGCAGCATCCATCTCTAAGACGTGCTCAAGCAGAGGAGCAAAGTACCATGTCACCTAGATGTGGGGACCAGGGCTGTGTGAAGACAAGGCTGCAGCTGGCAGCAGTATTCTAATAGAGCTGAGCTAGTCTGCTGAGAGATTTCATCAGTCCTTGTGTTCAGCCAAAGCTTCTCATTGCGAGATGCTGATCAGAGCCAGCCCAAGGTGGGGAGCTCCTGTCTGCCTGGTACTCTGCCGACATTTGATCAGAGACAGCTTCACATCGCACTCCATAGGAATGATAATCACACCCTTCCTGAGGCCTGACATGCCATGGGCAGTGTTATCTTTGCAAGGCTTTCTAGATCCTCTCACTGATAAAGTTTCTGTACCTGAGAAGTATTTGGCAGAGCTGTCCTCATGCACACAAACAGAGGAGTTGACTCTTAACCTCAGACGCTTGGGATGGGAGTAGTCTGTGTCAGTTTGCATGCCCTCCAAAGCAACTCAACAGGTCATTTACGTTCCCCTTTTCCTGGGGAGCTTTAAGGTGGATTTATTAATTGGGTTCCAAATCTTTTGAGGTAGCTATTTTTGAGGTAACAAGATTTTTCTTCTTTCATTGCTTTCCCACCCAAATCCGTGTCTGAATTTAGAGCTGCCTTCCGTTCCTTTGGGAACTAGGAGTCACGGAATAAATCTTTTTCTTTCTCCCTTCCAAAATTGAGAGATAGCTTCTGTCATCTGATGTAAACAACTTCATTTCTTACTCCCTTTCCCTGCACTTCATATGATGAATTATCACTTACCGCTCTTCACACAGATACATTTGTTGTTTACCACTACCTCTCACATACCAGAGACATTTCATTTGCTGGAAGAGCCAAAGCTGTAACTCAGTAGTGTAAGAGGAGGTCTTCCCCTTGAGATGTTTCATGCTGGGCTTACAATCACCGAACAACTACATCAGACGTTTCAGTTTCTGCATGATGACAGGGATTTCAACTGCTAATCTGAATGTAGTGGTTACATTCCCACCTGCGTCACAGTGCTTACACTGTATTTCAAGTATCAGGGACCTTACGTGTGCCTACGTGGCTGGCCAGCCCAAGTTTCCACATGGCAATCCTGGAAAGAACTTCTGAAAGTAATATGTGGGCTTTTTTGTCAATTAAAGATATTAAGAATCTGAAGGAAATATCCAGATGCACATCACTGGGACAGTCCTGATTTCTCAAAGGAAAAAGCCCTCTTTCCGGGCAAATAACACATATAAATAGGTTTACCAATTAATGCTTTTATTTCCAAGAACTCATAAAATCTCAGATTACTCTTGAGAGTAATAAATACTTCAGTAATGCTGTTCTTGATTACAGGCTGAGTGTAACAGCTCTGATTGGTAGTGATGTCATAATTATGTTTGATTACAGGCATGTTCCTATTGTACTGATGCAGAGGGGTTATTTGTTTCCTTCTATCAGTGTCCTGGATTCCACTGGAGACCAAGAACACACTTTGGCAGCACGCACAGCTTACAAAGCTACTCTCCTCAGAGCCTTGTCACTAAGGCACAGCTATTAATAGCTGGGCCAGCAAAACTTTACAGAATTGTGATTAAAGCTCCATGTAATTACATCAGTGGAGGCCACTTTCTAAAGGAATCCTGAATTTGAGCAACTCTTGAGGGCTCTGTCTTTCATATAAAGTTTTACTTCACTCACAGTATGAGAGCTAAAGTTACTTGTATCTTATTACCATTACAACAAGAATCAGCATGACAAATTAGAAATAAAGAAAAACTATATCCATAATATTGTCCCCACTTCCTACTACTACAGAGCTGAAAAAAGGAAAAACTCTGTTAAGCCAATTAGCCCTCTCTCTGTCAACGAGTAACATCAACAGAAAAATCATGCCTTGCAATTTATTCTCTGGTGCTTTGTTTATTTGGTATTAAATGACTCATGGAATATGGTTTCCACCTCTCCCCTAGGGAGATTATCCCAGCTGCTGAAACTTACTAGCGGTTCCCTTTCTTTTGTCTCACTTTTAATGATCCCTAAGTTTTTCATTCTATTTTAGGTTGGGATGTAAAAGCTACAAGGGAAAGCCTGCTTTTATAAGCAGTTAAGGCTGTGACAGAAATGCATAAACCCAAGGAAACGTGCAGTCAAAAAAGAAGCACGTCGTTTGTTTCACTGAATGATGCCATCTCTGTGGCACATGTATGTTTCCTTGTTCTTACTGGTTGTTCCGGAGAGTTATGTAAATGTGCATTTATTGTAAATTAGCATTTGGCTAATTGTTAAAGCTTGTTCTGTAGCTTTTATGTCACATCAACAACCCACATTTGCAATTAAGTATTTGCTCCACAGGCAAACATAGAATTTTTTCCTAGAATTATTATTTACAGCATTTTGTCTCAGTGCTGTGACTCTGTTCTGACCCCATAACCTGCTGTATGCACAGAGTATCTCAAAATGGAACATATTTATTAAGGGTATGTAGCCTTAGCAAAGCAAAATCTATTTAAAAAAAAAAAAAAAAGGTTGTGATACATTTTATTCTTACTCTTCTTACCAGAATGCAGTATTTACTTGACAAGAGAATGTTTTCCTGCTTTGAAGATGTAGTGACAGCATCTTCATTTCCCAGCTGTGGTTTTGCAGTACACCGTGTCATTTCATAGCATTCCAGCTGGCTCTGAAGGAATGGTAAGGGGCTTTCCAAAGAAAATTCTGTGCTGCTTGTTGTAAGATGGTGGTGAACAAGGCTTTGTTGGTGAGAAAATGAAAGGAGGATAGACAGGTAGAAGAAATCCAGAGGGCAGAGCTGCAGGCCAGAGGCAGCCCAGCTTCTCAAGGTGTACAGTCTGACATTCTTGACTTGTGCATTATGTGTACCAATGGACAGAAAGACAGCCTTAAATATAAATCTGGAAGAAGGATTGGTGATTTTAGCTGTGAGTTGAATGTCAGCCTTTGTGTTAAACTAAATGCTCAAGGAATACATAATTCAGAATTCCCCAGTGGTTGTCCTGTTTTCCTGTAGATGAGAAGAGGATGCAGCCAGCAGGTCTGATTCCAGATGAGATAAAATGTTGTTGTAACAAAAATAATGGTTAATGAGCACATTCTCGTTTAAGTGAGTTATCCACTACCACAAAGAAAAAAAAAAATGCTTCTGGCAACCAGGAAGGAAAAGCATTACCCAAAATGGTTTTCGATATTCTTAAGGAAAAATCGTATGGTTCTTATTTGATAG